ACAAAGGTAACTAGTGTGAACCTTGCTTTTCTGAATATATTCATATTGCACATGCACCAGATGCAGATGGTGAAGAACTGGCAATGTTGTAAAGCAACTCCCAGATCCTGTTCTTAATTTTCTCTTTGGTTACAGCTGGTGAAAAAATTTCCTTTCAACAAATAATTGCATGTGTCTGACAGTATGGCTGTCACACCGTCTGAGCACCCTTGATGTTCAGTTTTTTGTGTGTATGCATGAGCAGTCCAATGGTTGGAAGGAGCTGAAAATTGTTGCTTATAGAGTATTGTATAATTTTAAGATGATCAATGACGTGTCGTAACAAGGAAAATAGATTATCCTAACAGGATTGCGTAGGTCAACCATGGGTGGATGCTTAAGGGTGAAGGTGAGAATCCCCTAACCCTATGTGTGCTGTGGCTGCTGTGGATGTGTCACAGAAAATCAGAAATAGTGGTGGTGGTAGGTTTGCGTCCCAACAGTTTCTGTGTTAGGATAGCTAAGAACCATCAGACTGAATTTCTTTTGTAACGCAGGATCACCAACACAAATTGTAGAAAAATAACACAGAATTTTAGCTAAGATCTGTTTAAAAAGATTCTTATGCACTTAACAGCTTGTGGGTATTAATCTGTAGAGTTTGGAAAGAACTGACTTCTGTTCTTCATCAGAAGGCCAATATTTGGGCAGAGTTAAATATGCTGAAATCATGTCTTGGCCCAGAAGGCAAAGAAGGCAAGGGGTGAAAGCTGCAACAGCCAAGAAGCAGTCTAGCTTTTTAGATTCTTTGTCATGAATGGTGTATTTTATGTTCCTTCTTTGTAATGAAATGTGTGCTTTTGTACTCTGCTGGAATAACTTTCCTCCCCAAATAGTGGCCTATAGGGACGTAGCAGGAACTGGTCTTCTTCCCCTAGGGACCAGCATATCTTCAGTGCTGTGTAAAGATGAGCTCACACAAACTCACATCCAGCTGTATTTTGGGATTCTCAGGAGTTAGCTTCTTTTCCATCAGTGTGACAGCATTTGCTGTCTGGAATGCTAGGTGAGGAGGTAGCAGAGAGATGGAGTCTGTGGCATCCACAGCTACTTTTCTGGAGAGTAGCAGAAAATAGATGTATTATTTTGGGAATACGAATTTGCATGATGTCTGGTGAAGGGTAAAAACTATTGCTTATTAAGACTCTTCTCTTAAGAAATACATATTCCTTCGTCCTCCTCCCCTTAATTTTCTGTAGGTATTCTTTATATGCTTAAATAACAGTTTTCCTTCATAGAGCTTAAGTATCTTTATTCTTTTGTTTGTGTGTCTGACAAGCAGCTGCTAGAGAGAGTATCTGCTACTGGTGAGTTTATCCTTTACAAGGTTGGTCTGTCTGCCTTGTGTGAGTATAGGAGAGATGGAAGGTAACCTTGTGGTTTTGTTCTCTCTTGCCTTGTGTTTCTTTCTGTTCTGAAAATTTGAAGACAGCAAGAAATGTGTGAGATATACGTTGGTTTGGTTTGGCTTCCTGAAAAGCTACGGGGTTTGGTCTTTGTTTTTCTCCCTGCAAAAGGAAAATCCTGGGGATTTTTTAGATATGTATTGTGGTGGTGATCTCATCAGGCAGCATGCTGGTTTTGACTGGGATAGAGTTAATTTTCTTCACAGTAGCTGGTATAGGACCATGTTTCAGATTTGTGCTGGAAACAGTGCTAACTCAGGGGTGTTTTCCTCATCACTGAGCAGTGTTTGCACAGAGCCAAGGCCTTTTCTGCTCCTCACCCCACCATCAAGGAGGCTGGGGGTGCAGCAGGAGTTGGGGGGACATGGCCAGGGCAGCTGAGACCAGGGCAATTCTGGCCTATATGGACTGATGTTCAGTATCCAGAGTGGGGGGAAGAAGGAAAGGAGGGATGTTGAGAGTGATGGTGTTTGTCTTCCCTAGTCACTGTTAGATGGAGCCCTGCTGTGCTGGGGATGGCTGAACACCTGCCTACCATGGGAAGTGGGGAATTAATTGCTTGGTTTGCTTTGCCTCTCTGTGTGACTTTGCTATTTAACTGACTTGACATCAGCTCGCAAAGTTTTCTCAGGTTTACCCTTCCAATTCTCTCCCCTATCCTGCTGTGGGGGGAGGAAGCGAGTGGCTGTGTGGGGCTGAATTGTGGCTGGGGTTAGACCACAGGCAAATGTATTTTGCAAAGCTTTGTTTGTTGTTACAAGCCTTTATTTGGGCAAAGACTCATCTTGACACAGTTCAACCAAATGATTTACAGATAATTATAACTAAAATTAACTGATCTGGAAGTTCTTTTCTAGCAGTATGTGATTAAGATTAATAGATATATCATAAATGGTGCTCTGTTAGCTAGCTTATAATTGTTCAAAGGATGGGTTTTAATTGGCCTTTTTGTGTAGCATGTTGGTAATGGGTAAGGTGTTACACATTTTTCAAGGCTTTGCAGTGGGGATATACATGGGCTTTACATTGGGATTTACCTTGTGTTGTCACACACATTCTAAGGGCTGGATGTTGGAAAGGCAGCCAGGTTCATTAGATCTACTGAACCATAGCCTACTCTTTCTAATAATAAATAACCCCAGTGGTCAGATAAGGACAGTGGAGAAAACTGGTGTTTGAAAGGGAGGAACTGGCAAAATGTGAAAGAATTAATTTTATTTTCTTTCTCTGCATGTGACTTGCTGTCAAGTGGGTAGGAAAATGTATTCTTCTGTCTCCACAGTGCAACAGGATGTCTCTTGAATCTGCTTTATACCCTGATGTGTCACCATGCAAACTGGTTGAAGAATGGGTATCCAAAAAATAAACAATGACTCTTCCAAATGTTAGGACAACAGTCGTGCAGTGATAACCTAACTTAACCCAACCTCTGATCCAAATGCGATTCTGAGATCCTGAGACTGTTCCCCAGTGCAGTGGAGCCCCTCTCCCTGTTCCCTTGTACAAGCTCCCTGGCTTGTTCTGCTCTGTGCCTGTGGATCAGAAAACACCTTCCAGGGACAGGAGCAATTCTGCATGTGCTGGTACTTCTCTAATGTGCTTGTGCATCCATAGCCTTTAGACGATCTCTAGAATGTCCTTGGTCAGTTTTCTGGACAAGGTAGCTTTGCAGATTAGAAAATAAGCTTACTCTTGTTTTTTTATGCAGCATGATTTTTTCACTTAGAGTAGGGTATGTTCATGCCACTGCTAGCTTTGGAAGTGTTGAGCTGCTGCAGAACAACTGCATCAGACAGTGAGTAGAGGCATGGGAGAAAGGGGAAACATGTACTTGTGTACTACTTCATCGTTAATATTGGATTGTTAAGGTGTTTTACAAAGTCTAAAAGTTATCATGTTTGAAATCACTGTTAACATCCCAGCCCTAAAGTAGTTCAGAAGGCGAGCTTGAGAGCTCCAATATGTATCAAAAGTCATGGCTCAGTAAAACAAAGATTGAGTTATTTATGTCATGTCACAATCTCCCTTTTCCTTCCAATATTCCGCAAGCAATGCTCCTCTTCCTCTGGAGGATAAGCCCATCAGCCCCTGCCTCCCCATCAGCCCTCTCTCAGGTCGCTGGAGCAATCAACATTCAATAGTTGTTCTTTGATATTTACTCTCAAAGTTAGCCCTTTTCCAGACCTGGTGGAGGACCTGCTTATCTGCTCCTCAGTGTGGCAGGTGCCAGTGTTCAGACCTCTCGTTACCAGCATCTTCCAACGGCTGCTGACTGTACCCTAGCCAGTTCATCCAGAACACAGTTTTAAAACTGTTTGCACCTTGCCAACCTGTGCCTGAGAGCCAGAAGGCTGCTGGATATGTTGTGAGCTTGCAGTGTTGCTGATTTTGGCTTTTACCTTTCCTTTCCTCCCCTCTAATTTGTAGCCTAAAGTGCTGTAAGCCCCAGAGCAACACACTGTCATTTTTTCCAGTGTTAACATGTTAGTACATGCAATGATTATTTGTGCAGCACTGAATTGTCTGCACATCTAGTAGAATGCACATCACCTTTGAAAACTTGAGTCATGTGGGCAGGTTCTACATGAGCAGCAAGCTGTCTCATCGACCTGTTGTGAAATGTCTTGTTTATCTGAGCTGTCTTGACTTTTGAGGTGATTTTTCTCAAAACTTGTGTGTGGAGTTGTAACAGCCAAATTATCCACCAGTTCTCTCCTCCTCCAGACAGGTCAGGTTATCGCTTTAGGTAAGTGTAAACATAGCAAGTTGCAATGTGCTCTTAGAAGCTGCTGAAACTTCATTCTCAATATATTCAGTCTTGTATGTACAATTCTGCCACCAGAAGTATAAATAAGTCTTGATTATTACTTATGTCTTAAATAAGTTTAAAGTCTCCTGAATGACATACAGATAAAAGGTTTAAATCTCTTTTGTGTGTCATTGCTGAAATTCAGTTTTTAACTTAGCACCTTAATTGGGACTACTTTGCTTTGGAGTTAATCCTGCAACTGAAGAATATGGGAATAGGAATGCCATGTACTGGTTACTGATGCTGCAGTGTCCCAGGCTGTGATATGGGGGCTGGGTGGTGGTGGTTTGTTTTGAGCTGGGCCATGATAATTACCAGGAAGATTGTTCTAATACTTACGTCATAATTATGATTTCCATTTCTTTTCTGTACATTAATGCCAGTGTTTGTTGCTAGGTTTATCTGGACCACTGGAGTTGCAAGCATGCCTAAAAAGAAAAATCAATGTAAATTCAGCTAATCAATTAATATTGCGTCTTCCTAGGGACAAAGGGTGTGTGGTCTAGTCATGGCACAACATTTTAATTTTTGAATGTTTAGCTCCAGCTTTGGCTGAAACAGCAGGAAGCATGAAATAATAGAAGAGCAAGCACTTCCTCCTGGCAGTTTACCTGTTTGCTGGTGTGCTGAGCTGTGTTCCATGGCTCTCTGAATTTCTTTCTTTACTTGCATAAGAGAGGTTTTAATTTTCTTGCACTGTCGTGTGTATCTGAACAGGTTTTGTTCTTTCATTTTATAAGAGGAAAATGGCCCAAACTACTGCACCAGCGACATCCATCCATGATGAGGAATCCTCTGAAAGCAGAATGGTGATTACATTCCTCATGTCAGCACTTGAGTCAATGGTTAGTATAGAAGCTAAGCTGCTGTGTCATAACTGTCTTGGCGTTTGCAGGATTACACCAGTATATTGCTTCTCCCTAGGCAGCAAGAAAGGTGGACTGTTGTATCTTTAACTTACTTTGTGCTGTCCAACCAGCTGTAACTCTTGTCTCTGCTTGTAGTAAATCATGCTAACAGTTGTCTTGTTTTTTGTTGTGGTTGTTTTAAAAATGTTGTCAATTAAACAGGAAATATTTGTTGTTTGCTTAGGCACAGCATGTTTGAAAGGTAAGAGTGTGTTCTGGCCTTTGTCATCTGTAACGTAGAGTGAATAAATGGTCTTGAGGCTAATGCCTTGTCCTCAGCTGCTGTACCAACTCAACAAAACTAGTTTAAAAAATACCTTTTTAAGCTGGCCTATCACCTGTTTTGTAGAAGTTACTTAATTATTGTGTGGTGGGGTTTAAGACTGGCCAGGGCTGTGAGTGGAAATGCCTGTCATGTTTCCTTAAAGTTGAAGCACTGTCAAAGATTTGGTTCTTTAAAATCATTATTTTTAATGATAAGCGTGAACAAAAATTTTCTTTTTAGCAATGAAACTTGGAATGAGATAGTTATAAGCTATTGGATTGCAAGCCTTTTTTCTCCCCTTGTGTATATTTGGATCCTAAAGGCTTTGTGTCTCTTTTCCTTTACATGCTGTGGTTGTTGGTGTCATAGGTTGCAGGAAACTCTAATCTGAGTTCCTAGGAGAGACTGACTTTTTGTGATAACTTCTTGATGACCTCACCAGTTTTCTTGGTATCTTTGTTCTCTCCTCGTGCCATAGGCTTCCTGCCTTAATTCTTGCCAGAAATTTCTCCTGGCAGAACATACATAGGTGTTTTCAGGGACAGTGCAATACTTCTGTTCAGGAGGAATTCACCTGAGCTGAGGCTGAGCACGCTGGACAGGGCAGACTGCAAACAGCCATCCTGCTTGCAACCACACCTTTCTGAACAGAACATGCTGTGTGAGGAGTGCTGTGAATGAACAAAATTCCTGTGTGCTCTGTTTAAAGTTGGAATAAGATACTGAATATGCTTAACATGAAAGTGATAATTTCACATGGATTGATGTAATAAATAATTTTAATTAAAAACAGTGCAATCTCTGAGTGTAGACAAGGCCTTAATTTCACTAATGCATCTACAGTGCTTTTAAGATTTCTGATGACAAGTGTTCCAGATGTGTAGGTTGTGCTTCGCTAATGGCTGGTGTTACATTACTTGCAGTACCTTCTGAAGGGTGGATGTTGACAGCAGAAACAATAACTGGTTTATATTATATCATATACATTTCTATTAACTGTATCTTAACTATGGTAATAAAAGCTTCTTGTTTTTTCTTTTTATAGTGTAAAGAACTTGCCAAGTCCAAGGCAGAAGTTGCCTGTATTGCTGTATATGAAACAGATGTGTTTGTAGTTGGAACTGAGAGAGGAAGATCCTTTGTCAATTCTAGGAAAGATTTTCAGAAGGATTTTATTAAATACTGTAAGTTTCAATGTTTTGGTTTTGTATGTTGCAAGCTGCTTAATATATATTGCATAATACTAATAACTTTGGGGAGCAAAATTCTGTCAATCCTGGCTGCATGCTACAATTACATTGATTATGGCAAAGCCAGCTGTTTAAGAACCCAAAAATGATCGGTAGCAGTGGTCTTGTTCGGAGTGTTATTTCAACAATGACTGTAAATGTTCATTACTTCTTAGATAATGTGTCAAACTAGTACAATAAGGATTAGACTGTCCACCCTCATAATACATCTTGCATTTCCTAATGCTTGTTTACTTCTTTTTGTATCTCCTTTTCCAAGTCTTTTTTCCACTTGTGAAGGCTGGGCAGGACATTGGATAGGTTGGGAGAGTACTTCTGTCAGCTGAGATGGTCATGGTTCTTCAGATCACTTTATGCCTTATTAAAGCAGATGCACAGTTTTGACAAGATAGTATATTTTTATACAGCTTTTCTGTATCATTGTTAATTAGCAGACAGAAGTATGTATCTGTACCATAATGACATAAAATTACATCTCCATTACTTTTGTTCTCTTTAAAGTACACTTACAGTGTGGGGTTTTTTTGTTTAATTTCATTTTTGCAGTAAAACAGTAGCACTTGCGTGTTCATTAAGCATGATCCATCAAGTCCAGGACAGTATTTTTAGGAGTTAGGTTTCAAAGATTCAGTGCCTCTTTGGGACAGCATTGATGTGCTCATTGAGCAAAGTGGTGGTGGGGAACACTGCTTAATAAATAACAAAATGTACATTTACTTGCCTAGGAAAAGGGAGAAGATGTGGGTCAAGGGTGGGGTGTGATAGAAGAATCAGTCTGCGGGGAGTTATAAAACAACTGTAAAATGTTTTGGCTTGATTAGTTATATACTTCTTAGAGCTGTGTTTAGTCTATAACAGAAACACTTGCTCCTACAGTGCTTTTGCTGCTAGCTAGAATTCTTTTGGAAGGTTTGTCTCAAGGCCATTTGTTTGTGGCAGGGCTCTGGATTTTTCTGCCACCATCCTACTGCCATGGACACTGACTTCCTATGCACAGAAGTATGTTTGCTCCAAGGAAAGTCACCACAATGTTGTGTTGTGACAAATCACTGACATCAAAATCCAGGACTGTGACCTCCTGACTGAGGAACTGAGTGTAAGATGAATCAGTACTTAAAAAAAAATATATTTTAGAGGAGCAGTCTTCTGAGACTCCTGTTTATGAAGATTGTTAGCTGAGTGATGAGGAGGGAGTTCAGTTTTTCACCTGATTTTTTTGTTGTTGCTTCAAGGGCTTCCCTGAGGTTCTAGGTACTGGGTTCTAGGTACTGTTTTTTGCCAGTACAGTGGTATCATGGGCCCTGATACACCTGGACACATCTATTGTTAGGCATCTGAAATCACAGATTTGGTGTTTGATCTCCTGGCCAGATCTGTATTTCAGATTTTGTACTGTGGGAAACAATGGGTCATCTATACTTGTGCTTGGCTGTATCAGCCATGGTTTCTATAGATATATGTATGTGTTCAAATCCTGTATCAGTTGTGATAATTCTCATACTTTGCTTTATTCCAGTTAGAAGATACTCATTCTTGGGCAATGGTTTTGTACTGTCAGACTGACAGGATTCAAACAATAGCCACTTTGAAAACACTGTTTTTATTATGCTTCTTGCAGAACATAGTGTAGATCTGCATGAATAATGCCAACTAATGTTAGTCATTGCTTTCATGGTATCACTAGGGGCACATCTCCCATGCTTTCAGGGGAGTTTTGATGCTGGAGTTCTTTTACTGTTGCTGACAAAGATGTTGATAATTCCAGAAAGCTTGGTTTCAGAACAAAAATGTTTAGGAATAATAGCATTGCATACTTCTGGCGATGCTGACTCCATCAGGATAATGCCATTGACAGCTTTGAGATCTTGATGAAATTTATACTGTAATATCTTTTGCTCTAAATTGTAGAGCTGGGGAGGCAATAGTTTCTTTCCCCTCAAACTTGTTTCAGCAGTTCACTATGAAAGTGAGCAATAGACAATTGTAGACATGATTTTAGTAGGTGTTTTGCAAGAATCCAGGAAGGACACAGTTCTGTGTGGTGTTAACAAATTAGAGGGACCCCATGCAGGGGAAGGACTCCTCTCCCTGAGCAGTGGCAGAAATAATGTGTGATGAATTGACTGTAGCCCCCACTCGGGTCTCCCTGTGCTGCTTTTGGGCAGGAGGTAGAGTTGGGAAGGAGGGAGGGGTGGGGGAAGGTGTTTTTTAAGGTCTGCTTTATTTCTCATTATCCTGCTCTGATCTCGTTAGTAATAAAATTACTTATATTCTCCAGGTTGAGTCTGCTTTGCCCATGAGGGGATTCAGTGAGTAATCTCTCCTGGTCCTTATCTTAACTCAAGAACTTGGGCTGTTGTTTGGCATCCAGCCAATGTCAACCCACTACACACCTTTTTGGTCACCTGCTCTAAAACCTGATAAACCTGAAAGATTTATCCAGCACTGTGTGTTCCATCCCATCTGCCAAGGAGGTGCTTCCTGGTTGCCTCTGCTAGCATTTCCACTGGCTTAAAAACCTAAACACACTTAAAACTGTCAAGTCACTAGTGGGATTGGCAGCTACTTCAGAGTCTCACTACTTGTGAGACTACTTTGGCCTGCTGTAGTTTTCATATGAATACCTGAAATTGGTATTTTTGGGCTTGTAGTAGTTTGTCCCTATATTCTAGGGATATGTAAGCATCTCTGACTGAAGCTGTACCATATCTAGTGTCTTGCTATGGTAGATGCTGGCTTTCTGCTCCATACCTGTAATTACAGCTTTGCAGTGATTGTCCTCACTTTGGGTTTTGTCTTCCACAGAAGCTACTGTTCACTGTGCATGAGCTCTTCTCTGTGGGAAATGAACTTTTTAGCTTCATGTTCAAGAAGGTTCAAATGTGCAAAGACTTAGAGCAATTCTTTAGTCTTCAATGATGTACAAATAGGACTCTGAGTAGTCAGTCTGTACGTTACACCTCCACCAGGGACCATCAGTCTACTTCATCCCTAGCTGTTCATCCCCATAGGGTGGAGGATGCCTGTGTGAGATTAAAATGAATCTATTTGCTATCTAGATCTTGCATTCCAGGCAGCATCTTCCCAACTGTTGTGAAGAGGTACAACTTACTTCTGTCTTTGTGTTCTGTCTTCCCTTCAGTGGCAGAATTATGATCTGTTTCTAGGGATTCTCCTTGTGAAATTTTCTCCTAATGTTCTCTGAGTGACAAAGCTTTTCCTTACATTAAATCGTAGAATCATCACAGTTGGAGGAGACCTCTTAGATCATCAAGTTCAACCATTAACCTGCCACTCTGCTGTAACCCCTAAATCCTAAATGTTAATATTTAAACTGAGACTGCACAAAACAAAGTTACTCAGATGTTCTGGGAGGCTATTTTGCATCTCTAGCTGTGATAGCACAGTGAATGTGCTGTCAGTGAACAATGTGCTTCACCTGGGATTGGGACTGCTCTGTGCTATCCCATCCGCTGTGCTGAGACCTGGACAGCTGGAAGGCAATCTGAATGCTCTGGATATGCTTTCATCAGAAGTGATGGCTTTGCTCAACTTGCTTCAAGAGATCTCACCAGGAGCAAGTACAAGCTCTGTGGTTGCCATCTGCATGACAACTTCCCTGCAGAGGAGTTTGTGGCAGTGGCTGGAGTCATCCCTATGGGAAAGTGCATATGGACACTACAGCCCAAAGACTAACTGTTTTCTGGTTGTTATCTGATTTATGCTGTTTCTTATTGACAAGAGGTTCATGCATTCCAAGTTGCCTGACCTTTTCCAAACTAGAAGTATTTTATGAAATAAAATAGTCAGTACTTCTATGATTTAGAAAACTGTTGATATTCGCCATCTTATGACCACAGGTGCAAGTAGTTCTAATACTGGCAATAATAAAAGCAATGGTAACCACAGAGCCAAATGTACAAAATTACTTAGGTACCTGAAAATCGAGCAGAGCTTCTGAAAATCTGTGACATCTACTTGTAGGCATCTAAATAGCTCATAAATCAGAATTTTTGTCTTTCACTGTGTTGTATTTGTAGGTGATGGTATCTAAAAAGTATGGTGTAGAAATACATGACTTCAGTCTTTATCCAAAGCTCAGAAGTGTATAGCATATAAATATAAATTTTCCCATGCTGAAGCTCAGATTGGCATGTCTTGCTGCCTTCTTTCATTTTTCTAATGGGTGAAGCTATTTGCATGTTTGGTCCTGTCTGTGTATCATCTGTGCACCATAAGCAATGCTGAACAGACTGTGGTATTGCACACCAGAGAGC